AGTGGAGTAGGTGAAGTTCGGGTTGAGTCGGTCGGGTTACGGGTTAGTCGGGTTCGGGTCAATCGGGTTGCGGGCCGGACGAGTTACAGGTTGTTGACTTTTAGTTAATTCGGGTTGCGGGTCTGGTTGATCTCTCGGGTTATTCGGGTCGCGTTCTGTTTTGACACTTATAATTAGAGTACCGGTGTATGAGAGGTTTTACTCTCTTCATCCTCTTTGGCGAGTTAACAATGTTTGCTATTTTAGGAAGAACATGTGTGCGAGATTCTCAATCATTTTTTAACTCAAAACTTTTATAAATTTGTGCTCAATCTTGAAAAAAATATATTTTGTAAAAGAGATTCTCACGTAAGAGGCAATCATTCTTCCCGACTCGGAGTTCCATTTGAGGATATGTTTGGGGATCAGATAGCTTTTCCACGTCCTGCCATCTTGCACTACTTACCATCCTGAAACATCTTTCCTCCTCACGAAATTGTATGGCAATGTACAAAGTACTTTTTAGCCATTCAAGAGACCTCAAACTCTCATTTGTACCCAACATGTGTGGCAACCTATTGTGGAGTGCATACTGGGAAGTAGTGCTTGGGCTAAGATGAATCCGTCCATAAAATTCCGCACACGTGACCTTGATAGGGAAGGCAATGATTCATCCGCTCTTGTTTATGTGGGATAGATGCTTGTTTGCAAAGAATTTGCAAAAAAGTATGGTGCAATGCACGTCAATGTTGAAAAAGGAGACCAATAAAAGACAACTCCTAGATTGAATGAAATAATAAAGAGCACCCTCGAGAGTTCTTGTGCTTAATTGTTATTGAGAAGTCCCCTGGTGCACACTTTGAATGTTCGTCCTGAGGTAGAAGGTATGGTCCTCACCAAGGAGTTTGTGCTTGCACAGTAAGATGATAATAACGTTTACTCATCCCAGTCTACTTTTCTTTATGAAATGAAGAGCCAGAGTGCACCTCTCGTTGATTTTTTTAATAAGTGGCATTGGTTTTAGTAGGTTTACTTGGGGGCAAGCAAATGCCTGAGCGTGGGGAGTTTGATAACACCAAAATTGGTGTTATTTTCCTTTATATTTAGGTTTGTTTTGTGCTAATTCATGTGCATAATCAGAATAATATCATCTATGGCATCCCTATTTCGTTCCTATTTGATTATGTCATGATTTTAGGTTGCTTTAGACGATCTATGTGAATTAGGTACGAAAAGGGCACAAGTGTAGCAAAATGGGCAGGAAGCTGATGATCACGACCTGAATGGGAAGATCAAGGTCGAGAAAGTAGATCGTGAAGCAGAGGTGAAGATCGCGACCTAGGAACCCAAGTTCGCGGCCGCGAATATGAAGGCCTTGGGCGCGAACTTTGGGAAGAGCCAACCGAGAAGAAAGCCGAAAGTTTTGCCAGTCTGATCACGATCACCGTCTTTGTTGTCCGCGCGGAAGTTTGCTACCACGATTGACGGATCGCGACCGTGAAGTCAGCTCGCTAGACCCCAACAAACGAAGACCAAAATAGTGACACCTGAAGATCACTATCTCGGAGGAAAAGATCATGCCCGCGATCTTCCCTTGCTCGGCTGCGAACTTGTCCGTCCCTGAAGTCTATAAATAGAGGACCCTTCTCCCCATTTGAAGAGAGCTGATTTTGAAATAGAAATTTCTGGTTTGGAGAGAGAGAAGAAAGAGAAGCTGAAGGAAGGAGAAGAAGAGAAGAAGGAGAAGGAGAAGAAGCTAGAAGAGAGGAGCCATCTTCTTCCACATCAAGCTTCCCCAATTTCTTCTATGTATCTTCCTCCCTCCTTTATGGAGTAGTCTTCTTCGGTACTAAGGGTTCTAAGCTCCAAACCCTAGTTTTAGGGCTATTATGTAATGTTTGAATATGTTAGGGTTTTGAATGAATGTGTTTGTCTGGTTGATTTTAATGTTTCATCTACTTTAATTGTATTTGGGTAAGTCGCTCTATACTTCTCTAGTAGCCTACTTGAGCTTCTACGCTGAGTATGGAGTTTTAGGGTTAGACGGGTATGCGCCATTTGAAAAATTAGGGTTAGATGATTGAATAGGGTCTTGTGGTGGATGAGGCGACCATACCTCTGCCACAAGAATGCCTTCCTAGATGGAACCCGATATGAAACCTCGGTGTGAACTGTGGGTAATACCCATTGAAAGGGTTCTTAAAGCCCCATATACGTGAGCCTATACCAAGGCGACAATGGGGTAGGTAGGGCATACTTGGAGGCGTGTGGATAATCATGAAGGCCCACGGAAAAGAGCTCACTCACCACATTCGCTTAACCCAACTTATTTAGACATTGCATGATAGACCTAGGATAGGGTGAGGGATAGTTCAACAAAGTACCTGCTTTTATTCTTGTCTATTCTCTCTACTAGTTATTTCACTTGAATCCTCCAACACAACCCCTTAAATCGATCGGCTAGATAACAACAACATGGGAATTAGACTAGGGTACTCGGACCCGAGTGAATACGACCTTGATTGCCACTATATGACAACGCCATTTTAGGTTAAACTTGCAATAAGATGGGGTAGTTATTGAGACGTGCAAACTACTGACAATGACCTGCACGGAATGAATTTATCATCGAGCGTTGTATAAGTCATGGTTTCAACCGCGACATTTACAAAAAAGACTGAATTGTGTAAGTGATGCGGTGTGTTTCAGGTCGGTGTCACGATTTACTTTCAAATGTCCCAATCGTGGCGTGCAATTGGTACTTGCGCACTACTAAGTACAAAAATCAAATCGGCAACCATTTCTTGATGGAGAAGAATTTTAGAGAGAAGAGAGAGTTGCAACCTTCTAGAGAGAGATAGTGATGAACAAGGAACCCTAGGTGGTGATTAGAGGTTTCCAGCCACAACTGGAGACAAGATTCATCATCAAGGAGTGAAGATTGGAGCTGAAGAAGAAGAACCCATTCCCACAAGATGATTTCTCTGCTTGAAAATGTTTTCATCTCTTTCTCTCACCATGGAGTAGACTTCATCCTCACTTGGGTGTGTAGATTTCTAGCCATATATGTCAGAATTGAGGTATTATTTATTCATTAAATTGATTGGGTATTGATCACACTCTTCAATTTGAGCTATTGGCCTAAGGTAGAGAATATCCAGTTAGGTTGATTAGAGCACATTCATTTATTCATTGTGGTCCAATTGAACGAGTGTGATATTGGTCTATAAGGCCTTTTTGGATCGAGATCCTTTAATGGGAGTCGGATTGCATGCCTTAGGTGTTCTAGTTGCCGGTTGTAGAAACTCTCCCTCTAGGTAGTTCGTTTAAGTAGGCTTGGATAACTCAAATAGGGAGTCCAAACTAGTTTAAAGCTCTTAACTAAATTTGAATCGATCTTGTTTTGCTTTGTTTAGTTAGTTGTGTAATCCAAACCACAACTTGTTAGCTAGATAACTATTAGTTCACGAAGTACACCAAAGAACCTTCAAGTAGCCGACCCAAGGCTCATGTGAATCTTTATGATTGGTGCAAAAGTCCAAACCATGTTCTAGATGATTACCAATCTATGATTTACGCGACCACACCCCAAGTACAAGTTGACTTCATTGCTAATGTTAGGGAAGACAACAACCCCTATAGCAACACTTATAATCCGGGGTGGCGCCACCAACATCCAACTTTTTCATGGGCATCGTCTTCAAATCCAAGACCTTGCGGTATGGGATGAGACCAACATCAAAGGGCACCCTTTCAACAACTAAGGCCTCACGATTTTTAAGCACAAAAACGTTTCTACGTAGAATCACACTTTCCCTTATAAGTTTAGTCAAATATACTCTTTAAACTTTAAAATCTTACATTTTTAGATCACCAAAACACTTGTACATGAAAGTGATTTTTCACGGGACGGACCATTGACCCTCACCTGCTTGCTCGACCGGACCAAAAGGTTAAACCAGGTTGAGGTTGAAGTAAGGTACATGAAAGTGATTTTAACTAGACAGACCATTGACCCCCACCTACTTGCTCGACCGGACCAAAAGGTTAAACGGGGTTGAGGTTGATAACCTTACTTCACATACCTTCATGCTGATTAAGGATGGCAATGGGTCAGGTTGGGTCGGGTTTTGCCTAACCCAAACCGATGGGTTTATCTGAAAAAACCCAGGGTAAAACCGATAGAGTTTGAAAAACTCAAACCCAACCCACAGATTTTTGTCATAAAAAATTTACAATAACAAGTTCCTATCAAAATTAAATCCAAATATCATTCTCTCAATACAAATTATTCATATATAAAACACCATTCTAGAAAATTCAAGCAAATAACAAATTAACTATACAAATTGTTCGACACCAATCTAGAAAACTCGTGAAAATTGAAGCAAATCACAAATTATCCATAAACAACATGATTAAATGAAAACTTCTTCCTCTTTGTCAATTAACCTTCTTCACCCGATAATATCAACTTCATTCTACATAATTAGAAAGAAAAAATTAGACATGTCTCCACAAAAATAAAGAAGATAAGTTGTTTAAAATATTAAACATACCGGGATAATTAATTATATGAGTGTGTCGGGTACCCTTGAGGCGGGTTTACCTAAAACCAAACGCAACCCAACTCGATGAATAGTGAATGGGTTTAAACCCAAACTCAATCCAAAACCCGTCAACGCAGATTTTACCTGCGTCAACCAAGTTGAATCGGATAGGATACCGATATCCATAGGTTCGAGTTTTGTTGCCCATACAGCTCCGAAGTAAGCAAAGCCCGAATATCACCATCATTTTCCTATTTTCTCCTCTGCAACCGAATTTCTTTCGCAGTCACTGAGCCACTGACCCCAGCTCGCAAGTCGCAATAATCAATCATGGGCTTCAATCTTAAACGTACAGTCCTCGGCCCAACTAATGCCCACAGGATAGTTCATAATTCCCAGTCCAGTCTGCAAAACCCTAGCTAGAACTTCGCCCCCCCTAATTTAACCTCCAAATACCATTCCTCACATCCAATAAAGCTGCTGCGCCCCCAAAACACACTGCTTCCTCCTTTCTCCCAAACCCTAGAATCCCGTTTCCCTCTTCGCCACCACTGCAACCATGCCGCCGAAGTTCGATCCGTCTCAGGTGGTGGACGTCTTCGTCCGTGTAACCGGCGGTGAGGTCGGAGCGGCTTCCTCCCTCGCTCCCAAGATCGGTCCGCTGGGCCTCTCACCAAAGAAGATCGGTGAGGACATCGCCAAGGAGACCGCGAAAGACTGGAAGGGATTGCGCGTCACAGTCAAGCTCACTGTCCAGAACCGTCAGGCTAAGGTGACGGTGGTGCCCTCCGCTGCTGCTCTTGTCATCAAGGCCCTGAAGGAGCCCGAGCGTGACAGGAAGAAGACGAAGAACATCAAGCACAATGGCAACATCTCGCTTGATGATGTTATCGAGATTGCTAAGGTCATGAGCCCTCGATCTATGGCCAAGGACTTGAGCGGAACAGTGAAGGAGATCTTGGGGACTTGCGTCTCCGTGGGTTGTACTGTCGATGGGAAGGACCCAAAGGATCTCCAGCAGGAGATTAGCGACGGTGATGTTGAGATTCCCTCTGAGTAAAATTTTTATTCTAGAGCAGGAAATCAACCCTTTTTTCTTCCCTTTTTTGCCCATGTTCTTTTGTGTTAGTGTTTTCACTTCTGAAATGTTACTACTCTCAGTTTTGGATTGTGAAAGAAGTTGAAAGTTTTAGATGAATCCCATGAATTTATCCGAATATTGGATCAATGGTTAGTAGCTTTCTCTGCTTTTAAACTTGCTGTTTGATTTGAATGGATGCAGTGTTCGGCGCAGTTGGGTTGTTGTTTGTTTGATATTGGGGTTGGAGATGGTTACAGTTGTTAATGAATGCCTATTTGGTCGCAGGCTCATATCTGATTCTTATTAGTCTCTCATTTCGTTAGGGTTTCTGGGGATTGGGTACTACTACTAATACAATGATGCGATTCACTGGTCTGCAAGTCATAGAAGCAGCCCATAGAATAGATGAAGTAATTGCTTGAAGCTAGAAGGTATTTGTTAAGTTTGATTGTGTTGGATGCTTGGTAATATGGTTTGGAAGTTCCCTTGGAGACTGTTGTAATCTGTTGCTGAGATGGGAATTATTTCGTGTAGGATTGAACCTAGCTAAGAATGTTAACATAAATTGGCTAGTTCGCGTCTTGAAATGTAGTTTTGAAATCCTGCTGTTAATTATGTAAGGATTGGCAACACCATGTAGTTGCTTATGTAAGGATTAGCATAGGCTGTCAATTTAGGCAAGGCTGTCAAAATCGTGTTAAGATGTTGGGTGTCTGGTGTAGGGGATGGTTGTATTGAGAGACTACAAATTTAATGCTTCTTAAGGTCTCGAGTTACACTTGCAGCACTTGGAAGAACTAAATTCCTTTCCACATATGTATGTGCTGTGACCTGTGAGTGAATGTGGGTTCCATGAACTGAGCGAGAAGATATTAGTTTTTTTTTTTTTTTTCCAAAGTCAGTGTTGAAGATATAGTCACTAGAAGAAAGAAAAGCGCGGGAGTCGACCAATGGTCGAACTCCCGATGAGAGGGCCTTTTGTGCAACATGATGGGCAGCCCTATTTAGTCGACGAAAGACAAAGCAGAAATAAATCAAGCTGAAGTGAGAAGCTAAGCTCCGAGCATCCTCCAGTAGAGCTCCACCCCGATCTTGCGCCAAGTAGCCTCCCACCATCCCGCCGTATCAATTGTTGTGAATCCCCATGAAATTTGATAGAGACAAAGGAATGTATCAGGCACCACTGTATGGCCTCCAGTATAACAAATTCATAACACTTTCCGAAAGCAAAGAGAATATTACCTGACGATTAGAAACCCACAAAGCCAATACCACCTTCGTGACTATGCTTGACCGCACCATCAAACTAAACATTAATAGTATTCAAAGGATTCCTTCAATATCAGGGGCGTCATTTCCAAGTGCTCCATCAAATCTCATCAAAAGGCCACCTAGTGGACAAGACAACTGCCACCGATCGACTATTGTGCAATTGAATCTTCACCTGCAAAATGAGCAAACAAAGGCCCCTACTAGGACAATCCAGGCCAAAGAGCCACCTAGTCAACATAGACACAAGGCAGCATTTCACCCTTGAAATAGTGAACCAGGTCATCGGGGAACCAGATACCGGTACCACCCGTTACAAATCTAAACCTCTTTTTTTTTTTTAATTAAAAGGAAACAACCTAAATTTCGGGGACCTAATAATTTGCAAGTATGTAATGATAAAAAGAAGGCAATAGATACGAACGAAATATGAAAAATGATGGAAAGAATAATTAAAAACATAATAATAAATAAATAAATAAATGATAAGGGAGTACTTATCTGAACCGTTGACCAAGAAGCGTAACCGCCACCTCGTTCATGATTGTAACCGACGATACCGCATTCCCAAGAGACCGTTCGTCTGCCCTGTCTCTCCTGACGGTTCGTCGATTGAGTCGATTACTCCATACGAAACGGTTACATCCCATCTGTGCGTCTCTTCCTCTGTCTCTCCCGTCTCCTCACCTTCCGTCAACGACCGTTCGGTTTCCAATTCCCGTCACCATCCCTTCGACTACCACCATCCTTCCGCCGGGACTTTCCAAGTCCAGCCACCGATCTGCGTTCCGATCCAAATCGGCAAACGCGTCCCAGGCCTCCTTTACGAAACAAGTAACTCCGGCGATGTCCCCCTCCACATCCGCCCTCATGTAATTGACAAACAAAAACGAACAGAGGCGTTTTCTCTTTTGGGAACTAATCTCGAAGAAGAAGAATAGAAAGAAGAAAGCTAAACAAAACCCTAATTCAGTCAGAAGACATCGGGGTGGCAATGGCCGGAAATTGAACCGCCGCGGAGCGCTTGACTCAAGTGCACGGACAGGGCGAAATTGTTAGCCTCTAGGGTTTCTTTGATTATGCTGATTGATAGTCTGGTTTGCATGTGGATTTGGGGATGGGTTCAGGTCCTTAAGCCACTAAACTTAACAAGTTACTCAACTACTCAAGTCAATGCTGGCTGTTAGATTAATCTCAAATGGTTAGTAATTAGTTAGTGATTATTACTGGTTATTTGTTAGTTAAGGGTATTTAAGAAATTTTAAATTATTTGAACTTACCTAATGACTTGCCGATCATAACAAAATCAAGATTTAAACTTAACCTAATTTATATTGGAAACTAGACAAAGACGTGGTGATGATCTCGGGCTTAACGCAGAGATTTCTATTCAAAATTGATTTTACCACACCGGCGAGATACCCAACCGCGGATGAATGCTGTCGCTGCTGGTTTTTCGTTGTAGCCATGTGAGATGGTTTTTTTTGACAAAGTAATTGACACCTATAGTAATTTTTATAGAATTGCTATTTGTAGCGCTAACTTCATCTTATTTAGTGAACGGCTATTTGCCGCCAACCAAAAAAAAAAAAAATTGAATTCAAATTTTGAATTTTCCCTTCCTTTCATTCTATAAATTAGGATATCAAGAACATTTGACTCATTCCAACAAAAACTTCTATTGACGAGCCCAGTGCCTCCGTTGCCGGCACCGTTCTTCCGTCGTCGGCTAACCTCCCGTCGCCCTCAATCGTCGGAAAACAAGTAAGTTTTCCAGTTTTCCGGTCAGTTTTCCAGTTTTCCGGCGCGTTTTCCAGTTTTCCGGTAAAAACACGGTGGGCCGAAAAAAAGTTGCGGCCGGAGCGACGTCGGGCCGAAAAAAATTTGCGGGCGGTGCGTCGCCGGGCCGAAAGAAATTTTTGGCAAATTTTTTTCGGCCGGTCGCCGAACACGCCGGCCAAAAATTTTCCGGCGATGTGTTCGTCGGCCGGCCGAAAAAAATTTGCGGCCGGAACGTCTCCGGGCCGAAAGAATTTTTCGGCCGGACGGCGCACCGGCCGCAAATTTATTTCGGCCCGACGTCGCTCCGGCCGCAAAATTTTTTCGGCCCGGCGACTTTCCGGCCGCAAATTTTTTTCGGCCCGGCCAGTTTTTGTATTTAATTTAATATGATAATTAATTAGCAATTAGTGTTAATATTTATTTAAGTTGGTGTATAAATGTTTTTTTTGTAATAGGCGTTTGAAAGTTTAATTACTTAGATTAGTTAATGGAATTTTAATTAATTAAGAATTGATTTAATAATTAATGTTAATTAGTACATTAGTTAATAGAAAATTAATTAATTTCTGATTAATTAACAATTAATGTTAATAGTACATTAGTTAATAGAAATTTAATTAATTTGTGATTAATTAACAATTAATGTTAATAGTACATTAGTTAATAAAAAATTAATTAATTAGTGCGCATCTAAGTGTGATATTGTTTAAATTTGTAGATAATTAGATATGGATGATGCAGGTGATGCGGGTGGGAATGAGTTGAATAGATTCAATGGTAGGGTTGTTGATGTATCAGCACGAAGGAAGAATAAGGAGAAGAATAAGCGCTCTCGAGATATTGGACATTAGTCACAGGCAAATTTAGGGGAGGATGAGTTAGAGGCTCCTACTGTAGTTGCTCGTTCGACATCACGGGCGTCTGGTTCCCATGGGAGGAACCAGGGTGCTGCATCGAGAGTGGTCTAGGCTGATTTTGATGAGGATGATAATGATGAGGATATCGAGGTCCCTCCACCTACGCGTGGACATGGACGAGGGCCGTCTTGTATGGCAACATCACGTCCTGCTATGTATAGGGACCGAGCTGGGCGATTCGTACCACCTTCTCGTCAGGAGACAGAGAGCTCGGGGACTGGACGGAGTAGGGGAGGAGGACGTTCGAGTGGTCCTCCACTGTGGGAGCTTGTTGGTGAGTGTCCTGGTGGACCTACGGATCCTAGCCTCATTAGGAGCTTTCGTGGCCACGTTGCCTATGCGCTTTGGACGGGGGCTGGAGATCGAGGGGTCATCAGTTGCTACAGCCGTACATCGGCGGTTTCTTATCTGAGTAGCTACGTGTTTAGTCATGTTGAGGCGGAGGATCTGGTGGCGCAGTCAGGTCTCCAGCACCTGATCTACTCTATGTTCCGCAAGATAGCGATTGACGAGGCTTTGATCTCAGCTTTTGTGGAGAGGTGGCAGCCAAACACGAACACCTTCCACTTGCCTTTTGGAGAGATGACGATCCTCCTCCACGATGTTCAGTACTTACTGCAGATTCCTGTTGAGGGCCGACTGATGAGTAGGAGTTCTGCGCAGCTTGACCATCCGGAGGCGGGTTTGTGTGCGCTTCTTGGGATGAACTCGATGCAGCTGAGTGGTCGTTCGGAGGTCCCTGGATATAATAATAGGGGTAAGTGGTACGGGAAGGGTGGTTTTCTTGCACAGATGGCGTCCAGATACTTGCAGAGCCACGGGACACATGTGACAGAGGCGCAGTCGTACTTGTTGTTGCTGTTGGGGTCCACTTTGTTTGTGGACAAGAGTAGAGACAGGGTTCGGTCGGTGGTGAACCTATTTTTGGATGAGTTGGAGGAGTTAGATCAGTATAGTTGGGCGTCAGGTACACTTGCTTGGTTGTACAGATACCTTGGTCAGGCGTCTCGTGCTGGTGCCAGGGGGATGGCTGGTTGTCTCACACTTCTGCAGTGCTGGATCTACGAGTACTTTTCGGGTTTCAGGCCATCTCACTTCGAGCCCTCCGCTGTTGGAACTGATGATGCTTGGGCTTCACGATGGGTTGGGCAGCCGACACCTGGTTCTGTGGCTGATGCCAGTGGGAGGTTGGCGTTCTACCGTCGAGCTCTTGACAGCTTGACCCCTTCTGATGTGTTTTGGACACCTTTCCATCAAATGCCTCATCAGGCAGTGCGTCGCTCTTTGTACACTGGAGTCATCCGGTTCGCTGACATAGGCGAGTTCTATGATCCAGCCCGTTGCCTCCGACAGTTTGGATACCGACAGATGGTACCTCCTGCCCCTTCGCGTCCTCAGCGAGCAGACCGACCAGAGGCACCTGGGGGAATTGCCCTACTCAGATTGCGGTTCAGTGACTTGTGCAGTTCATTCACCACTTCCAGAAACTGATGTTCCATGTAGTTGTGGTTCTTCGCAAAACAAGTGTTGATCGCTCCTTTACCAGACACAAGGAAAGTCTTGAATGAAGAGTGAGATGACTCAACTCTATTCGAGCTCGTGTTACCAAGATGAAACACATGGTTCGTGTAGCACTTTGCCCACATTGTCTGATGAGGCAACCACTCACCTCGCACGTAGTCGACCATTTTTTTGTTCTTCACTGTCCAGACCCTCTCAAACTCATTAATCTTTTGAAGAAAACCCTCCTGAGTCCAACTCCATGCAGCTTTGTCGAAATATTTCTTCCATACCGCTTGTGCTATCTCTTTTTGCAATTCCACCAAGTAACACTTCAAACTTTTGCTTCACACAGTTGTTGACGTGCCATAAACATAGTAGGTGGACAGTATGTGGGAGAGGGAAGACCGCAGGAATAGAAGCAAGCAAACCACCTTCTTTGTCTGTCACAATGACATTCGGAACCGTATCACCGAGCAACCCTTTAATACATCGCAACAGCCACTCATATGTTTCCTTTGTTTCCTGCTTAATAATTGCACATGCAATGTTGAAATTCTTCTTCACTGGAGTAACCCCAATAATCTCAACCCATGGCCAGCCGTACCTGTTGGTCTTGTAGGTCGAGTCAATGAGGATGACGTACGACCATGCATGCAACATCTGAATGGACGTCGGGTGCGCAAAAAACAGATTAGTGAGCACATTATTAGAGTCCTTTTGCAAACAGATATGGTACCCACGATGTTCAGCTCCGTGAAACGCAAACTGTATCGCATCCATTTCACCCATCTCATCCAATCTTGTCTTGGAATTTATGTTGTACATCTGTTTGATATCATGATGCACACCCCCTTCAGTATTGAGTGTCGTCTTCTGCTGATTTGGTCTCACCCCCGCCTTCCTCATTAATTTTAACCTCTCTTCTGCTGATTTGGTCTCACCCCCGCCTTCCTCATTGATTTGGTCTCACTCATGGCCAGCCGAAAATATCTTGCGGCTCAGCCTGGTTCTGGCCGCCGGAATTTTTCGGCCCGGCCAGGTTCCGGCCACCGGAAATTTTCGGCCCGGCCAGGTTCCGGCCGCCGGAAATTTTCGGCCCACCGTCTGTTCGTTTCAAATCGTCGGAAAAATTGTTCGAAACTACAAAAAAATTACGCACCTGCTTAGTGATGATTCATTGATGCGTGTACGCAGTATATGTCGAGGATTGGCTTTCCCGATGATTTTCCGGCGACTTTTCCGGCGAGTGTTGAATTTTTCTGATTCAATACGTTCTCTGAAAGTTGGATATGTTGTAAAAAATGTAGATTGTGAAACTCCTTACCCAAAGATGTATTTATATACTCTTTTTTTTTTTTTGGTTGGCGGCAAATAGCAATTTGGTTTGCGGCAAATAGCAAGCCCCCTTATTTATAGTTCTAAAATAATTCAATTACTATTTTACCCTTTTTCTTTTTTCAAATTCAAATTTTGTGTGAGAATCCAACCAAACATCCCCTTCCCTCCCAACATCCAACAGTCGCCGGTTTCCTCCCAAATAGCGTTGCCGACGACGACTTTCGCCGAGAGAAGACGGAGAGCAGTGTCGCCGGAGATCTCTCGTCGGAGACGACGACATCTCGCCATAGAGGACGACTTTTCACCGGGAGACGACGGAGAGCAGTGTCGTCGGAGATTTGGGAGACGAGTGGCGCCGGAGAGGAGAAGAGTTGCGTCGTCGGAGAAGACATCAGAGCGCCTCGCCGGAGAAGAAGACTCATCGCCAAAGTTATATTTGATTTTTGTACGAAGGACTCCCGGCGACGTCCTGTTTGGATGTCAACAGCGATGGACAAACATCCTGTCCCGGCGTCGCCGACGAGGTTGGCAAGGTCAATGACAGTTTGACCAGCCGCCGGTGACGTCCTGTCCAGACGTCGTCGATGATGGACAAACATCCTAGCCAGACATTGCGCTGTCGCTGTGACGTCGGGACAGGACGTCGCCGTTAGTGTTTTATTTAATTTTTTAATTTAAATTATTATTATAAAAAATTTATATTACAAATATTTATGTAGCAAAATTTATTCAACGAAATAATTTATTGTTATTAATTAGTTTTATATCGGAGTTAATTATTGCTATGATTTATAAAATTTATTTCAATTTGGATTTAGATATTAATTTTAGGTTGTATTGATTAATAAATATATGAAAGTTTAATAATTTAAATATAGAAACTTATTTCAAGAAAAGTATTATTTAAGTACGAAACTTAAATTGTAATTGAAAATTTTGTTAAGCAAGAAAATTAAGTTATAATTTATTGTGGAGTTCGTTATAATCCTAACATTATATTGTGATTGGAAAATTTATTGTAAATGAAATTATATATGAATATTATTATAATAGAGAAATATACGAATCTTGAATCATTTGAATATAGAAATTTATTCTATGAGAACTAGTAATTATCATATGAACCTTGCTAATCATTATTACATGATGATAATAAATTGACAATAATTTTAATTCAAATTTAATCGGTAGAAAATTGTGGATACAAGAGGAAAGAAGAAGACGAAGTAGGTAAAGCCATCGAGGGTGGCCAAACGTATAGTATTGAGGTCACGTCGTGAGGAAGCAGAGAATGAGCGTCGACGTGCTAGGCTTGTGGAGAATCCTTCTTTCTCGGCTCCCATGCCTTTTGACTTAGATACAGCTTTTAAGGGACTGGCTGAGTATGATGGTAGTGATGACAATTGTGATGACTTCCCGGATGTAAATGAGACTTTCTTCGAGGGCAACCATCAGAATGCAAGTGGTTCTAGTGGACCTAGATTAGGGCCCGAGGTTCATTTTGTGTCTTCTTCGTCCTCTCAGTTTGTTCGTACTAGACGTGGGGCTCGTGGTAGTTTTGAGTCATCGCGGCTTCCATAGCTTCATCCATGACTTATATCTCGTATTTGTTATGAAAAATTGAGTATAATCAACTTTGTACCCCCCATCGTTCGGATCTCCCTAAAATAAACACACTCATCTTATTAGTGATACTAACTTTGAAATGTTTGTTGTAGATTGAATTCTTTCAATTTGATATAGATTGAGTTTTAAGTTTCAAATTTTTTGTTTACTTGCAATGTTTGTTGTAAATTGAATTCTTACAATTTGATATGGATTGAGTCTTATGTAAGTTTTAGAAAATTTGATGACTTGTTTGCAATATTAGATTTTACATTTATCTTCGAATTATGAAAATATTAAACACTTTTAACAATTATTCATTATTCGAACATAAACTTATAATTCAATAACACATTAAGCATGATTAGCTACCAAAACCTAATATTTCAATATGCAATAAAAAAGTTTTTTACAGGTAGTTATTAACGCAACAAAATCAATAATTCTACATTTTTCAAACAATATATATCATTGTAAAAAAGAAAATATTTAAGCATTCTATCAATGACTAGGCCTCATCGTAATAATAACTAATTCAACATGATTCTAAAATTAAAAGGTTTAAGAAAAATATTCTTAGTAACATTAAACTAGTTTCAAAGTATAAAAATTGAAATTAAATAACTTCCTTCTACAAATAATAATAATAATAAAATAACAAATCTATCCTAAAAAATATGATAATTGCAATATTTATAAAATATAAAATTACAACAAAATCATTAATTATTCTTAAAAATCTAAATTATTCATAAATCTATTATACAAATTCAAAATTAGTAACCAGAAAATATAAATCAAAATATTTAACATTCTTCATAAATCTATACGAAAATAAAATATTAAAACAAACCTTCACAGTGACGTCTAGAGAGGACGTCCCAAGCGATGACCCGACGTCCTGCTGGGGCGTAACCGACGATGGCCCGACGTCCTGTCGGGTCGTCCAGCGTTGTCTGGTGACTCACTTTCCTCATGTCCGGCCGTGGCGCCGACTCGTGTTTGGTACATCACCAGTAATCTCCGGCGAGAAAAGCGGTGGTGACTTGTTGATGATCGGCGATGTTGTCGCACGATATGGCTTCCAGTGATAGTGGTCGACCAACGAGGGTTGCTGGCAATGATTGTTTGGAGAGTGTATTTAGAAAAAAGAGAAAGTTATTTTTGACGAGGGTATTTTAGTGAATTTAATTTTTTAGGGATACAAATAAGCTTTATTTAGGGCTACAAATAGCACATCCCTTTTTATATGGACATGATTTTACCATTTCGATTTTACCCCTATTTTCGATTTTACGTAAAATCTCAATTGTAAGTTCTTTGCTTGTAGGTAGAAGGAGGCTTAGGCGCAAGTTTCAGGTCGTTTGGAGACTTGGGAGGCAAAACACCGGCAACCCCTGCTTAAACACCGCCAGTGTTTCACCTTGTAGTTGCTAAGACACAAACATGGTCGTGTTTCATCAGAACATGACCATGTTTCATAAAAACACCGCCGATGTTTTTCCCTTTCCCGAATTTAAATGGGCATATTCGAGCCAAAAAGAGGGGATTCGACTATTGAACACAAAAACAGAGTTTTAGAGAGAGAAAGTGACGAAGAACAAGACCTAAGAGCAGTTTTGAGTTTGGTTTTCACCATTGACGCTTGGATTTTGCCCCTTGGAGTGATGATTGACATCACAATGCAGATTATACACATCATTATGAGTATGATTGCTTTGATTTCTGTTTCTCTCTCTCTCTCTATGGAGTAACCTCCTTCTCACTTGGGTATGAAGAACCCTAGTTCCATGTGTTACGGATCTTGCTTGTAATGACTTTTGGAGGTTATACTGTTTGATTTTGATCGATTGAGACATGATTTGTTGAGTAAATTGAATCCTAATAATATCTTTTTTTGAATTCTAGTTTAAGTTATGATAGTTAAAATTCAATTAGGTTAAGAGAGCTTCTTCATTGTTAGTAATGAATTGATTGTGCGAGAGTCAATCAATTCACTACTTTGTACTGGAATTCATTCCAAGTAGTGGAAATCTGTATGAATTTCCTTAGCATTCTATCCTGGTGAAGGTTAGTCGCCTGCCGAGTATTGTGTCTCAGATGGCTTGGTCAGCTTAAGAGATTCCAAGGTATTATCGGATCTTTCGAAGTTTAATCAACAATATAACAACCAAAGAAAATTACAATTTGTACCTAATTGAGGAGCTAGGGGGAATCATACATAAGTGAGTTCCCAACCTGTAATTAGATTAACTTTAACTGTAGTTTACTAGAGTAGTTATAGTTCTTCTATCTTAATTTGTTTTGCTAGATAATGAACTGAAACTGAGTAATAGTAATTCTAGAGACTTGTGGATTTGACAATTATTACTTGTGACACTATAGTGTAGTCCCTTTCATTGGTTACACTTGGCATTGTTAGGAGTTGTGTTTTAGCGAGTCATGTGCACATCTGTCACTGCTCCACGAGGACTTCCAAGAGGAGGCTATATCCTCACTATAGCTGCCCACGTTTCTCAACATGGACGAAGGTAGGGAGACTAGCAGTGCACCTAGAGAGGATACACGAGAATGGATATGGAGTTGGCTACCCACCACCACCATTTTAGCGTAGAGAAATGGGGTCTAACTAGCAGAGTAGAGAGCAGCCAATGAGAGGTAGGAGGAGAGTATGACTACCTACTAGACCTTGAACTAGTAGGAGTGGGATGACTTTGAGCAGGAGAGACATATGGAGCATGAGGGAGCCCAGCTCTTAATTGCCATGCCAGGAGCAGCTCTTACCGGCCATGCCGGGAGCAGATGTCTCGAGCCTCGTGCGGGGGAAAGAAATGTAAGGGGGCTGGAGGTAGTAGGTGGAAATTGGGAACAGACTCTCATCTCCCCTTACACACTTTCACCCTTTTCGCACGGGAGACGTTATTTTAAAAGCAAAATTTAGAGCACCTTTCCCCCTCCCCCTAAAACATGATACAGGAGTCCATGACAAGTAGAGAGTCCACAATACCACAAAATTCAAGGGTCTTAAGATTACTAATTCACACAATCAACCAACACAATATGAAGAAGAAAGGAGATTTTCTTAAATGCATCAACATCCTCCATAGTGCGACACTACCTCCCTAGGTTGCATATCACCATAAAGACTGTCAATTCAAAGCATGCTGAGCAGGATATTGCAGGGAACAGTACTTGGAGCCCTCAATTCATCAAATTGGACAGTGGACTAGGCTCCAAGCATACAAACTCATCTAGCAGTCAAAGATACATAAACACCCCCACACTTAAGCACGACATTGCCCTCAATGGAGAAGAGGGAAAGATTAGGGGAACGATGTTACCGGGAAAATGGATTGCCGGGGGACTGGACATGGGACCAGTCAGGAAAACAAACTGGGTGATAGAAACCATAGTTCCAAGTGGACAAACCGAAAACAAACGAAAGGAAAACAAACCTTGGTATGGTTGCCTCCCCACAAGGGCTTTTTTACCGTCTTTTAGCTGGACTCCAATAGGGTGGATACTTAGAGCGGTGTAGGAACAGGTGCCTCCAAGAGCGGATGCACACGACGGGTGTGACCACCAGCATTCGTCAACGCGACCTGCCCATCCGGAAGGATGCAAGCGAGTGAATACTTGGATGGCCAAGGCGGTCATGGCTTAGGAGCCGAGAACAGCTCATATTGGTCTCCACTCATCCTTAATCTGCTCTAGCGGGGGTGGTGGAGGAGGAGGGGGGTGCAAAGTCCTGCAAAACGAGAGACCTAGAAGGATACACGATAGCCTCGTGTACCTGGTGAGATAAAGCATGCACAGGTGAGATAACATTCATATTATTAGCAATGGAAAATGTTATCTGCTCCTCGTCATCTCTCAAAGTCAGGGTCCCATCATGCACATTTATGAGAGCCTTGGCGGTGGCTAGGAAAGGTCTACCTAGAATAAGGGGCACTTTTGCGTCTTCATTGATGTCCAAGACAACAAAATCCACGGGATAAAAGAATCTGCTAACCTTAACCAGGAGGTCTTCCACTATGCCCCTAGGATGAACTACAGATCGGTCAGCTAATTGAATAGTCATCCTAGTTGCACTGGGTTCACCTAGGCCTAGTTTCTTGAACAATTTACATGGTATAACATTGATACTAGCGCCTAAATCCGCCAAGGACTCCCGTTTCAAACTGAGTCAATCAGCTGCTTGTCTTCTGGGAATAGGGCATGGTAGAAGGTGCCCACCTCGAAGTTCTTAACCAGGGGAAGAGTCACTCGGGAATGAGTCCCCCTAGCTCCTTAGTTAGGTCAAAGTTGTAATTACCTTTGTTTGATTTACTGTTGATTAAACTGCGGAAGTTCCGACAGTAGCTTGGAATCTCTTAAGCTGAACAAGCCCTCTCAGACAGACTACCCGGCAAACGACTAGTTGATAGACCGTTAATTACACATGTTTTTACCCCTGTTCTTACACCGTTTGAGATGTGATTTCTCGTGTTTTAGGCCGATTTCACGCTAGGTTGTGCTTGTTTGTGATATTTCAGGTCCTAGTACGTGAATGGAGGCTTGGGAGCGAGTTTGGGGTCGATTGGATGAAGATCGGGCGCGAGGCAAGTCAAAAAGGAGGCCACACGGGCACACCCACAACTCACACGGCCGTGCAAGTGACCACTTTGGCCGTGTGAGATTGTGCGAGAGCAAACACGGGCTTCCCTGATGTTCACACGGCCGTGTGAAGGAGTGGCATGGCCGTGCGAGTTTTGCCGAGAGCAAACACGGGCAGATGGAAATCTCACACGGCCGTGCGACCCTGGCCGTGTGAGAAGCCTGAAGATCGAACTAATTGGAACGTAGCGTTTTGACTCACACGGGCAACTGGGTATGCCACACGGCCGTGTGGCCCTGCCCGTGTGAGTCGGGATTTCCTGGTTTTAACCCAATTCCGGGCTGCAAGAGAGAAAATCGGACTTTTTGAGCAAAAACAG